TGTGTGTGTGTGTGTGTGTGTGTGTGTGTGTGTGTGTGTGTGTGTGTGTCTCCCTCTGTCTGTCTGTCTCTTTCTCTGTATTGCATCAATTAACAGGGTAGTTTCTATTTTCAGCTGCAGCAATTCCCTAGTGTGTTCTACTGGGCCAGTGCATAGGAAAGTAGAGATTGCATTTGGTAGTTCCCAAGGTCTCAGCCCTGTCACAGCACTATAGAAATATTCTGAGTGGTATACATTTCTCATTAATGTCTCTTTATTGTAGATGAGATACACAGGTCACCTTGCCCAGCCTTAATATGGGGAAGTGTTTAGTCTTACTGCAACTTGATAGGTCATGATTTCTGAATATTCAAGGAAGACCTGCCCTTTCCTAAACAGAAATGGAGGAGACATGAATTGGGGGGTGAGAACAGAGGAGCATGGGTAGAAGGGACCGTCAGGTGAGAGAGGGGAATTGCCTGGATATAAAATCAATCAATCAATAAATTTATTTTTAAAAGAATTATTTTATATTAAAAAAACCAACCGACAGTGTTCCAGTGAGTATATAGGCAACACAAATTGGAGTTGGTATTTTTTCTCTTTAGTTTTTCCTTTTTTTAGGGGAGGTCAAAGGAAATAGGGATGGACACAGGAAGACAGGGGAGTGAATGTGATCAGGGGGCATTATATAAAACCTCCAAACCAATAAAAACATGATGTTGGAAAAATGAATTGCCTCATGTAAGCTTTGTGGTTGTTTTTGAAGTTGATTTCTTTTACAGCATGAGTAGCATATATCAGTATATTCTGAAAGTCTTATGTTTGTTTATACTGCCTGCCACTCTTCCTTGTTTCTCACAGGTCAACAGCCTATCATCCTGAATGTTTCATTCCTAGGGAACGTTATGGCTCCAATTCCATCAGTGTGTGCATTCTGAAGTACTGAGAAATCACACAGTAACACACATGGAAAGTAGCTACTCCTGTAAAAATTATTAGGATGTGGTCTTTTTTATGTGGTCAAGGCTGGTCTTGAAATCTTGAGTATAAATAACCCTCTGTTTCAGCCTCTCTGTAACTCCATGGATTAACGGTGTCTTCCTTCTCCCCAGGATACAATTATCTGTCTTTATTCATTTGACCCGAGAGGTACTCTGGCTGAATTCTAAAGGAATTTGTGCTGAATCAGAGAATGGACTTCTGGAATCTGGCGACTAGAGTCATTTTCTTATCACAAATTACCACGGGAATTATGGGGAATTTCTCTCTAATTTTCTACTATCTAGTCCTTTACTACAGAGAAAGCACATTAAAACCCACAGATTTGATTCTTTTGAACCTAATGGCAGCCAATGCCTTGATCATTCTCTCAGCAGGAGTGCCCCAAACAATGGCAGTTTGGGGATTGAAGAAGTTCTTGAATGATTCCGGATGCAAGATCCTACTGTACATTCAAGGATTCAGTCGAAGTCTGTCCATTTGTACTACCTGCCTCTTGAGTGTCTTCCAGGTCATGACCATCAATCCCAGGAAATCCTGTTGGAAAGGTCATAAAGTCAGAACTGTAAAGTATATTGGCTGCTCTCTTTCCCTGCTCTGGGTCTTGTATATGTTGATAAATTTCATTTTCGTTATGTACCCATTTACCAAAATTAATAGCAAAAATGTGACAAGAAAAAGAGACTTTGGATACTGCTCTATTGGAGGACATGACGAAATCAGTGACTCCCTCTATGGAACATTGGCGATGTGCCCTGAATTCTTCTTTTCTCTGCTCATTGCCTGGTCCAGTGCCTCCATGATTGTCACTCTGTACAGACACAGGCAGAGGGTTCAATACATCTGTAGTTCTCATAGTTCCAGTAGAAAATTCCCTGAGTACAGGGCCACTCAAAACATTCTCTTCCTGGTGTCTACCTTTCTGGCTTTTTATACTGTCTCTACCATCTTGCGAAGCTGCATTGCTTTTTTGTATAACCACAACTGGTGGCTGGTGGACATCACTCACCTCACTTCCCTGTGTTTTCCCTCTTTTGGACCCTTCATTCTTAAGAGTCATTACTCTATTGTGTCAAGATTCACTTTGGCCTGGATAAGAAAAAAATTATCTCCTTATTTTATTATAAGTATGTAAAATATGAACATTTCACAATATCAAATTGTATACTCAATTAGCACCCTAGGAAATCAATAAAGAAAGTTAGGGATGTATCACCTTGTTTTTCTATGATTGACCAAAGTGAGTATGGGAGCTTCATCAGCTTCTTGAATTAGTGGCCTATATGAGCTCTTCACACTGTGTTTGGCCCCTTGTACTCTCCACCTTTCAGATAATAGCATTTTTCCTTTGCCCAGATGATGTGCAAAGAAGCTAGTGACCCAGATGCAAATAGAGCTGCCTTTCCCGTGTCTTTCATCCTGTCAGGTAATCGGGGCTGCTATTTCACAGACACCTTATGGGTACTGTACCCTAACTGTAAGGCAAAAAGAAACCATGGCTGGCCATAAACTTGTGCTTCATATGGCTCTTATCCCATGACAGCTGCTCTAGCCCAAAATTGGTTCAGAAGTCCTCTTCAGTGATACTTTCCCAGATGATTTGTTTGTTTCAGAAAAATGCTGCTTGGCTGTTCTTAACCTTGTAACAGCAGTCCTCAGCAAAGTCTGGGAAGTTGGGGATCTCTCCCCTAGCTCTGTTGGACTCAAATTCTGATCCATATCTCTCACCTCACACCCAAATCAATTAAAAATAAATGTTTTTGAGATGTTCTTGAATTTTATTCGCTACTAATTTTTTGTATTTGGCAGAGAAAATACTTTATTATCTATCCTATCTTGATGAATCTAAAATTTTATACCTAAACCACTTTCTATAACTTGTATTACCCACCTAAGCTATTCTTTTAGGCCTTAAACTGGTTTCTTAGATAAAAAGCTTAAACTTTTATGTCTCTTAACCTTTTAAGCTTTACATCTCTTTTGTAAGTTTCTTTTCTGAATTTAGTAACAAAGAAAATGGTATAACTATCTAGTCTTCAATCTCCATTAGAGACCTGAGAAGGACAAAATATTACCTGAGTATACAGGAAAAACAGAAAAAACAACTTCTAAAACTATAAAAACTACAGAGGTAACTGGCTTCCTGGACAACCACTCAAGGTTCCTCTGCAACATTGGGTCATCTATCTTAGGCCTACAGGCCTAGAATATTGAAAAGTGTTTTCTGGGAAGCAGAATTTGGCAACGTTCAGCAGTTGCCTTCTTTTGTGTCCTTGCCAGCAGTGGAGGCAGGGGCAGTTTCTTGCCCAGTGGCTAACTTAGACACAATAAAGGCAAACTCTGTGTGGAGGTTCTTCGATGCCCATCATCTTCTCTGAAGTAGAACGGTGCTGCCAGGAGATGAGTCTCACTGTCGTGTAAAGCCTTATGTTGTTAAAACATCTTAAATGCCATATTCTGTAGACCTACTATTTTTTTTACCTTTTTATTTAGAAGCAATCTTATTTTACATATCAATCTGTCCATTCCGTCTCCCTCCCATCCTCCCATGTCCCCCAGTTGTCCCGCGCACGCTGTATCTTCTCGGCCGGCAAGAAATACACGCAGGACACTCGGATCCTTCTGCAGACAAGCTTTAATGCATGCTTACCAGAGCGGAGACCAGAGCGGAGACACTGAACTAAGAAAACCATCCCTTATAA